ATTTCATGAAAACTTAATATAGTCTGCAGAAACATGTGTTTAAGACTTCTGATAGATTACATTTTCAAAAAAGAAAATAGTTTTTTTTTTACTTTTTTTTTAAAAACATTACTGTAAAAATTTCATTATTTCGTCCAATTTTTTCACTATTTCAACAACAAAATTTTTTTTTACAAAAATTCCAAAAGTGTTCTATCAGTTTTCTTTGAACATATATAAAGAGTAACTGGAGCAAATTTAGTTCAGTTCTGATAATTATTAACAAAGTTATTTCAACAATTGTACAAAAAAACATCAAACTGAGAAAAACGCAAAAAACTAACAAAAAGTTGCAAAAAATGAACATTTATCGCTGTATGTCACTAAAATCGACCACATTTATAGCCTGAAGTATGGTGCTGCTGAATATATTCCTTCTGAGCTTGTTCGGCTGTTAGTTTTCTTTTTTTCTGGCGCTGTTTGTTTTACCTAGAGTTGTAGTAAAGCTGTTGTCATGGCGTCTTTTTTCGCGTCTTCACTGGGTCCTCGACTATGGTTTCCTTCTTTTGACAGCAATGCCATAGCATGCCTGGGCCCAAAATTGAATTATGCTATCACAGAAACAGCAGTATATTTTGCATGGTCTCATGTCTAAAGCCAATTATGATAAGACGTCTTTGTTTATTGTGAAAGGCCTTGTTCTGGATTCTTTTGCAGTTGTATACTTACGGTTTACAACATTTTTATTACTGCCACACCATGCTTGAAGCAAACCCTTTACACTGTTTTCATCAATAGTAGCCACTACATCACAGTGTGCGAGGAGATGTATTTATAACATCAAGAAGCAAATCACAGTCGACAATAATTCTGCATGGCTGTGGTTTACAATTAGTACTACTAGTACTAGATGTAACAGTGCTTTCTTCTGTCTGTAAAAACTGTGTCTTACATTGCCGCAGTTTCTTAGTAAATGTGCATATTACATCTGCACCAGTGCTTGTCTGAATAGTGCTAGATTTAGTAGAGGTAGCTGCAATCAGTTGCATTCGGATGAGCCCTAGCTTTAGTAAATTAGTTAGATGTGTGTATCTATTTTTAGCGAGTATTTTGTTCTACGCATTATCGAAAGAGAAACAAATTAAATCGTCTCACTGCTTATGATAATTCACACAAACTAATCTAAACTGTTAATAGTATATTTAATTGAAATAATTATATGTTAAAATAATGTAAGTATTTTACAGAAGCTTAGAGAAACAAAACTAGATCAAACTTAGCAACGCGCTGAAACTAAGGGAATGTTTACTCCAGAGGCGTATCCAGGTTTTCGTTGTAGGGGGAGCGAAAAGAGCAAAAAAAGGCGCCGAATTTTTAACACGTTCTATATACGTGTAATATATATATATATATATATATATATATATATATATATATATATATATATATATATATATATATATAATTACTAGCTGTATGTCATTACTTCGCTATGATGTAAAATAAATTGAAAGTAGCACTCTGAAGAAATAAGAAAAAACATACAATGTAGGCCGACAAAACAAAAATTGTATCAATCTAAACAAAAAAAAAATATACACACACTACAAGAAAAAACAATGAACATAACACAATCTGTTTTGTAATTCTTGTAAACAAATTTCTTACATAATAATTCCTCGGAAATTATTTAAGACAAGTGAAATAGGGGAAATAATCACTCTCTTAATATAAATATGTATATATCTACACATTTAATTATAAATGTCAAAACAAATAAATAATTACTTTAGAATATAATCAAATTGTTTAACACTAATCGTGTTTACAAAATGTTTTTTTCTATAATCATAATTTAATATATCGTCATCATAAATGCTAAAGTTTTACAGCATAATGAAAGTTTTTAAAATCAGAGTTGGTATAAAGTCACGCTTTTCGATGTAATAGAAAAACATTCGGAATAAAAACCTACATTTAACTAAATATCGGTCTTTTAGTTCAGATCATATATTTTTAAATAACTACTGCTTCTTTGTGTTCTTTAAAGATAATTTTTTAACATAGTGATAGGTAGGGGTTAGATCACTGTATTGATCACACACCTTTTTACTGGTAATTGCAAAAACAATATTCACAGTTTTACGTTTAAAAAGCTATTTTTTTTTGCGGCATGGTACTTTGGTACATCACTACGCGTTTTTCTACATGTACTTAACAGATCAGTTCGGGGTGCGTTGGGGGGGGGGGGGGGGGGTTCAACCTCATTCACCACTGTCCGGTCACTTTAGGTCAATTATCCAACCCAGTGTATACCTAGGTGTGACATTAATGTCGCTCTACACAATTGTGGTGGTGAGGTGTGTGTGGGGGGGGGGGGGGGGAGATAACCAACTCAGAGTGAACATAGCGTCAGTTTTTAGATGACATATATATTACACAAATATATATTACACAAATATATATTACAGAAATAGATTTAAATAAGTAGCAGTGGTATTATGACAATATTTTTTTTTACAGAGGGGTCCATGGGGGAGGGGGGTTGTAACTGTTTCATATAATTTGTAATCGTAATCACTATCGCCCAAACTGTAAGAATACTACTACTTCATTGTGATGACGTTGACCTTGTCGAAATTTCCCCACCACTACGCAGTTTGCTCATCAGTGAATTTAAATAGAGGTGCCACATCAGTTGTATTTGTTTCTGTATTGTGATTTCTTTTTAAATTAATCACACGATTCAAACTGTATATATAAAGTAGTTATGTGTGAAGTTTTATGTATAACATTTTCTAATTCAATTATTCGTAAGCAAATACATTATACAGTTGCCTTAAACTTAATAACCCTCTTGCCAAGTGGTACTACCCGTAGAGGTTTTTTAAACATTGCAATGCATCGTAATGGTTATTTTTAGAATGGCAAACTGATGCAGCTGTTAATACGTGTTGTAAACGTAGACACTACTAGACTAGTACAATAATGCTTAATTGCTGCATGAAAAGAAATCTTGTGATTTACATAGATGTGCCGACCAAAAATATTTTTTTAACAAATATCATTGTTTAAAACTTTGAGTTTAAAAAGTTTCCAAAAAGGCGCCACTTTGATGAAAATGGCCAGAGGGGGAGCGGCCGCTCCCCCTGCTCCCCCCCTGCGTACGCTACTGGTTTACTCCCGAAGCGAAACGACCAATCGCTAACTAGCTTCCGCCGTCGTATGCCAATGAAAAAATTGAGGTCAAAAATTTGCATACCGGAAAAACCCGACTGAGTAAAATAAACAACTTTATGACGTAGAAAAATAATCACATTAAAATATGTATTTTGATTGGTCATTTAATTGTAGAACAAATAAAGAAAGGAGGTCACGGCCTTTCCATTGATATGAAACACATTAGGTTTCCGCGAAGCCTAATAGTACTTTTCTAGGTCGAAAAATTGCTATTTTTACCAAAAAATTAAACAAAAGACCATGTACACACTACATTGAACCCGGTTTTTCATAATTAGGCTGTCTACTGTCCATATACACTCTACTCCACCTATTCTCATCGATTTTTAATTTGTTTGAAGTTTTTGTTTTTATAGCAAAAAAAAAATACTTTCTATAATTAAAGAATATAATTATTATAGAACTAGAGAGCCGCATATAGACATCAAAAGAACCGCATGCAACTCGCGAGCCGCAGGCTGCCTACCCATGTGTGCGAGTAATTTGGTTAACATAAGAAATCTTGTTTAATTTTTTTTTTTTTTTTTTTTTTTTTTGTAATAACTTTATTATATAACCTACAAAAAAAGTCCAGTGTCAAGTAACCTACAAAAAATACATTTAAAAACATCTTATAAAGAATAAATAGTATGCAGATGCAGCTTATACATTTTTTTCCAATCGTAGCACACATATCAATAACTAAAAATACACTGTAATTCTATACAAGTTATTTTTGAAAAACAAATCAAATAAATAATTGTTCTAGACAAATTTCTGTCTCATTTTAAAATTAAAATTATGTTTCAAAAGTGATTTTTTAGGGTCTCTCTTTTTATACAGGTTTACCATTTTTAAATCATTTATCCTTTGTGAAAAAAGAAAAAAAATATAAATACATATATGGCAGTATGCATTAAACTTTTTAGCAACAAATCAAGCACTAGCAAGCGAAAATTTGTTTTGACGTTTAAAAAAGCAACGAATTATGTTATGTTTTATATACATGTACTTTATCATATTTCTTTATATAACATATGATGATCAACACTAAGCAAAAATGGGGAATAAGATTATGTTCATATGCTGTGAATGAGAGAGAGGTGAAACATAAATTCATCTACAGATGTTATTTAAATCTTTGATTAAGTTTTGAAGGAACTGTTGAACATTTTGGGATGTTTGGTGTCGTGTTGGTGGGGGTCAAAGGTATTGGCGAGTTTACCACATTAGGTGTGTCACCGTTTGCTCTACGTGCGCCGGATGGTGTGTTCTTTCCTTTCTCAACTTTTCCTGTGGCTTGTCCTAGCTCAGCAGACATGACCCTTTGGCCAAAGTTCAAGGTACAAATTCTCTCATTTATATTATTCTCAACAGGTGAGACCTGGAGAATCATTAGTGTCTTGCTGTCTCCACCAAGTGAACCCTGTAGAAGGTTTGTTGCTGTCTCCACCAAGTGAATCCTGTAGAAGGTATGTTGCTGTCTCCACCAAGTGAATCCTGTAGAAGGTATGTTGCTGTCTCCACCAAGTGAATCCTGTAGAAGGTATGTTGCTGTCTCCACCAAGTGAATCCTGTAGAAGGTTTGTTAGTTTTGCTGTCTCCACCAAGTGAATCCTGTAGAAGGTATGTTAGTCTTGCTGTCTCCACCAAGTGAATCCTGTAGAAGGTATGTTGCTGTCTCCACCAAGTGAATCCTGTAGAAGGTTTGTTAGTTTTGCTGTCTCCACCAAGTGAATCCTGTAGAAGGTATGTTGCTGTCTCCACCAAGTGAATCCTGTAGAAGGTATGTTGTTGTCTCCACCAAGTGAATCCTGTAGAAGGTTTGTTAGTTTTGAGTTCCTGTATGGGATATGACTATGTTTATTTTTTAGGGCACTGATGACATCACCCAAAGAAGAGAGAGACTTGTTTATATTTTGTGCTTATTTAAGACTTGCTCCATCTGCATGTGACTTGCTGACCCTCTCAGAGCCTGCCAGGTCTACTAGATTTAGTCGCCCAAAAGTCTTGCTTCCTGTCAGAAGATTGACACCAACTACACTAACACACAGCAAGCAGTGGGACCGGGAAGACCTTTCATTCATACTGGTGGCAGCCGTGGATCTGTTCTGTCTACCTGTCTCAACTATCTTATTGATCTCAGCAAGAGATCTGACAGGTACAGTGACTAGACCAGGTACATACAGCCCTCCCTCAGGCTTCATCTTGACCTCAAGTTTATCAGCTGGTGTGTCAGGGTTTAACAAGTCCCTTATAGTCTCATTGTAAATCTCAAACATGCTGGCTTCAATGTTATATTGCCAGCTGGAGTTTTTTGTTTCCTCATACAAAAATTGAAGAGTTCTTTGATTCACGCCAGGGTCAGATGAAGAACCCTCCATTGTGTCTGTTTTCCTTGAGCCCGTCTGTCCATAAGCAAAGATACATACATTGTAGCCGTCTATAGCTGAGCGCACAAGAGATGAGACCTCTTCAAAAACCTGTGATTGTGAGATATCCATGTGAAAAACGTTGTCCATTTAAAAATGTACACTTTTGCTTCTATTGTTTAATGTGATAACCCCATCGTCGTACGGGTCTGTTGTTACCATGTTCTCAGTCTCACCATCTTCTTTGATGCAGGGTCACACACGACAGAACACTCTAATGTTACCACTCAATTCCACCAACTGATTATGGAAAGATTTCCGCAGCTGGATCTCTTTAGTGTACTTCATTACAAGCTCTTTGTTCTTTTCATCAGTGGTTTTGATTGCCTCTTGAACCTGGTAAACACAATCTTTCATACTGGACATCACTGATTTTGAAAACAGTAAAAATTCTTTGTTTACTGTCCTTAGATCCATAGACAGAAAGTAAACATTCTTTGTTTACTGTCCTTAGATCCATAGACAGAAAGTAAACATTCTTTGTTTACTGTCCTTAGATCCATAGACAGAAAGTAAACATTCTTTGTTTACTGTCCTTAGACCCATAGACAGAAAGTAAACATTCTTTGTTTACTGTCCTTAGATCCATAGACAGAAAGTAAACATTCTTTGTTTACTGTCCTTAGATCCATAGACAGAAAGTAAAAATTCTTTGTTTACTGTCCTTAGACCCATAGACAGAAAGTAAACATTCTTTGTTTACTGTCCTTAGATCCATAGACAGAAAGGAAACATTCTTTGTTTACTGTCCTTAGATCCATAGACAGAAAAAAACAAAAATTCTTTGTTTACTGTCCTTAGATCCATAGACAGAAAGTAAACATTCTTTGTTTACTGTCCTTAGATCCATAGACAGAAAGTAAAAATTCTTTGTTTACTGTCCTTAGATCCATAGACAGAAAGTAAACATTCTTTGTTTACTGTCCTTAGATCCATAGACAGAAAGTAAACATTATTTGTTTACTGTCCTTAGATCCATAGACAGAAAGTAAACATTCTTTGTTTACTGCCCTTAGATCCATAAACAGAATACTGCTGATGTATTTTATACTTTACACATCATCCAAATTCATTCGTTTGGGAACTCGGCTTTCTACAGCAATCATAGTAGGACTGTCTGCTAAATGTTCAGTACATTTAATCTGTTCCTGGATGCATTGCATATTGGCATCAAATAATTTGTTTTCTAGATGTCTGATCTTTTGTCTCAGTTCTATTTCTTGCTCACGTTTTTTAATATCAAAAATGTTCAACTCATCTTTTAAATTTTCTTTCTCTGTTTTCAATTTTTTGATTTTTTCTTTTGTCTCTGACAAAATCTGCATGAAAGTTTTAAGGTCTTTTTCTGTTGCAGAAACACGAGGTAGAAGCCTCCCATCAACCTTTGTAAAACCCATTGAATGTAGAGCTGGGTTCTCAATGTTGCCTCTCTTGTACAGTGTTTCATAAGTTTCCAAATCTGTTATCCTTTTACTTAATCTCTCATTTTCATTTTCAATATTTCTTATTTCATACAACAGTTTCTGTGTTGATGGGGATGAAGCATTATCATGTGTGGGATTTTCAAGCTCTAGAATTTTACTTTCTAGAGCAGAAATAACATTTTCTTTGGCAATCAGTTGTCGATGATTGTGAAAATCTGTGTTGCAAATCTTTAATTTCTTTAATAATTTGTCTAGTCTAGCAACTTTACTTGGTGAACCGTCATCTTCACATAAACTAGTATCAAAGGGTCTTTTTCTTTGTTTATTTACTGTCGACATATCTTTGAATAACTCACTATACACATTTGCAATAGATGGTCTTTTTTCAAGAGTGTCATTATTTTGATTGTCCATTTGATGTAATTATTTACTACTGTCACTAAACACTCACACTCAGTCGTTCCTATTCACTTGCGGATCTAATTTTATACAACAATCAGTTAAGTTAAAGTTTCGTAAAAGTAGATTATAGACTAACTAGCTGCCAGTGTAAGGTAATTATTAGCCTAGATAGTATGAGCTAGATCTAGATATCATCTAGAGATCTAGATCTTGACTAGATTCTAAATCTAAAATCTAGTATTTGTCAACCATAAAAATTTGAACAATGAAATCTTGTATTTGTTTTTTTTTTTTTTTCCAAATTAATATTTTTATTGTTGCTCATCTGTGTATTGTTTTTTCATGTCCAAATAAGCTTTAAAATCTTTATAAATACAGGATGGATAAATTAATTATAAACGAACAAATACTAAGTAATCTTAGCTAAAAATGACTAAATTTCACATGAAAAATAGACTAGAAAAATAATTTACATAAAGTTTTTATAATGCTGCTTTTATCGTAATACATTTCAGTGAATCCATCACATTATTACTTAATGCCATGGAAACATAATTACAATAAATAATATACAAATGAAGAGCATTAAACTAAGAAGTAGAAGTACAAATAATAGTCAATTTACAAAAAAAAAAAAACACTATTTGCTACAAAATCTTTCAAAGAAAGTGTAAATGTCTCATAGAATCTTCCTCAAGCTTGAATTGTAAACATTTTTTGGTCTTTTATAAACAGTGACAAAATAATTACACGGAAGTAACATATTAATTCTTATTAGTTACTAATTTTATACGAGGTGAAAGAAGAAACTGCTGTGTGATCCAGCTGTTTGGCCTATGTTGACTTCCTTACTTTAAGCTCCACTACTTAAAAAAAAATACTTAGTTTCTTGAAAGTATTCAAAACAGGTTGATGCTTAAATGCTGTACAAACTAATAGTAAAATTTCCAAAATTTTTAGACTTATAGTAACGTATAGAAAAAATATAAAACCGAAAACATGCATATAGGGCACTAGCCCTTATAAAGGCACATGAATATTAAATTATGAAGACATATTTGACAATACCATATTGTGTCTATTATGAAAAAAATATTACTGTTCAGACAAATATAAATAATTTTTTTTTCTATACCTACTTTGCATTTCATAAACATTTCTGCCTGACCAAGATCACATTTTTCAATAACAAAAACAACACGTTTTAGAATTTAATAATGTTTCCCTTGAAATCAACCAGTTTCCCATGTGTCTTCAGTCCAGCCTCTCCAATAACTTTCAGACAATCAGCAACACTTTCCTCCTTACCAGTGGGAGCCGCCTCTGTGCCCATGTCAATACGCACCCAGCCAGGGTGGATGGCAGTAACAAGGATGCCAGAATCTTTTAGTTCTCTGCTTATCATGATGGTTGCCATGTTTAGAGCAGTTTTTGAACACTTGTATGGGATCCATGCTCCATAGCCATTTTTAAATATGAAATCTTGTTAATCTTGTATAAATATTTTGAGCAACGAAGCTGAGGGATCGGACAATTCTTTAAACACAAGTAATTCATTTTTATAAAAGCAAAGTTATCTTAAATAATTACTAGTTTCGTAATTTAATTAGTGGTATTTTTTTTTCTATCGGTATCAAAAACCATTTAAAGGTAGACAAAACTAGTACATAAAGTTTATTAAAACTTAAAGAAAAGAAAACAAAATCAACAAGGATTTACATAATTATTATATCTCCACTGGGATATTGGTATCTTTGTGAATGTGATAACAAAATTTTATGTTGTTTCCCTTACTCGTTTAAACTGTTATATGGGAAGTAACAATAAAAAACCCGTATAATACCGATCTATCAAGTTGCAACATTGCTTTGTTGTATAGAAGAATTAAAAGTTATGTTTACTAGAAACGGGCCGAGCATTGTAAGAAAGGTTAATTTATTTTAATATATTGAAGGTAGACCTACTTTACTAAAATAAAGAAGCTATGTATTTGAAACTATGTGGTTTTTCCAACTTGTTAAAAAATAGTAATCATACTTATTAAATGTACAAAATGTAAACACTTTCTTTTTCTTAATAATTATGCCGATGATATATTACTGAAAAAAAAATATATATCACTGTATGATCACAATATATTCATGTGTATAAAACAACGCAGAGAAAAAACAGAAGATTAGCGTTTCATCTCTTACATTATGCTGTAAAAATCCTAACTTATAATTAGGTCACTGCCTCTTTGCCTGTTCGAAAGCCTTGTCTTAACATTATAATTATCATATAGTCCCGAGGATAAATAACACGATTATCTATACAGGCTATACACTAAGCTAAGTACGTAACATAAATCAAACACTAACTACAAAGTAAACCAAACGTGTCTCTAGTTTAACCGTTTAACCCTAACATCAAAAGTAAAACACGAATCCTAACATTTAACCTTCTCACATAAATATTATTACTGACCATTTCTTTAACACCAAAGGTAAATACCAAATACAACCAAGCGCTAGAACCAAAACCAACACTAAGCCTAGATTTAACTTAACTCTTAACTCTGTTCTATGGGCCTCTATAAGATAAGACTGCCTTAGTCTGCCTCTAACACATTACAGTAAACATTATATTATCGTTTTGTAGAAACCTTTAATGAACTAAGTAAGAGATAGAACTGTTTTTTTTTTAATTTAAAACAATCCAATTTAAAATCGAAATGCCATAAAATAATATTACTTGTCTTCCCCTTGTATTGTTTGTTTAAAATGCGATTGGCCGGGCTCAGAGACTGGGCCACACGTGTAGGTCAAGAGCTGGATCTGGTTGTCAGAAACTTTCAGTGACGTGGGATGTAAGGGGCATTTAGTGGGAGCTTATTCTCACCCTGAAGTGGGAGCTAATCCTCAACCTAAAGTGGGAGCGTATCCATACCATGAAGTGGGAGCTCATCACCACCGTGAAGAATTATCTTATCTTTACAGTGAAGTTGGAGCTTAATCCAACCCCCCCCCCCCATTCGTCCACAAAAGTCTACTTTATTCGACCTCCCCCCCTCTCCTCCTCCTTGTGGACGTCATACACGGTTGACCCCAACGGTCTATCAAATATAATGCGGGCTGGTGACGTTGGGGGGAATAGAAGGAAGGCGTTTGGATGGAGCAATACAAGAAATGTATTCGGCTGCCCGTTACAGATTTTGGAGAGCATCAGAAAACGGAAATAGATATAAGAAGAATAAAGTAGGTGAAATCAATTATTTTTTTATTTTTTTTTTTTTTAATTTCAAACAAAATTTTAATTTGAACATGGCAAAATCCTATTTTAGAGCATACTTAAATCTTGAAACAGTTTAATACGATGCTACGCCGTTAACCACCAAAACAACAGCATTAGTCGCTGAAAGCTTCAAAGAACATAGGATTAATTAAGATAAAATAATTGTAAAGTAACGTTGTCAGACAGCATTCAAACTACATGGAACAGTTAAGTGTTCACAAAATAGTTACCTTTTTTAAAAAAAAAAATTCCCGCATCAGACATGTTATTTTCAGTGTCAGTTGTATGTTCGCTTTAGTCAGTGGCGTAGCGAGGTCGGGTGTCACCCGGTGCGGCACTTAATGGTGTCACCCCCCCCCCCCCCCCCAGAGGCATAGAGGCCCTTCCCAGGGACAAACTTTCAAATTTTCGATTTGCACCCACCCCCCCTCAAACTTTCGATTTGCACCCCCCCCCTCGAGTTTTTCTCTCTATATTTTGCTATTTTTTGCCTTGGTGTCACCCCCCTAAATGGTGTCACCCGGTGTGTTCCGCACCCCCGCCCCCCCTCGCTACGCCCCTAGCTTTAGTATTACAGTTTTCATCATTGGCTTGTGAGGACTGATACAGATTTACAATAGTAATATTTCTTTTTTACTTGGAGCCTACTTTCATTCATTTAAGATGTTTTTTTTTTTATTTAAGATGGTTTACTTATACATAGATCTAATACAGATTTTAGATTGAAGTTCACAATATAAATATATATTAATGTTCACATTACTATAGCTTAAGTAGTGTATAAATTCATTGGTTTTATAATTAAACTGAAAGTAAAATTGTTACTTTTTAAAATAAAAAGTATATATTGTAGAAGGAACTTCATAAAAAGTTGCTTTCTGGTTCATAACAATAAGTCTATAAACAATTTTTTAGCAAAAATGTCTTATAGTAAATAAAACTATTGGTATTTACAAGACTTCAAAAACTTATTTGTGTAATCTCCCCTGGTATTTTAAAATTTAGAAATGGATTTAACTTTAATACGTTTTAAGAATAGACACTATTTTTATAAAAGTTAACTTTTCATTTCTGGGTGTAATAACAGCATACTAAATAAACTTATAATAAAATATTACCTAGGTTATTACATAATATGTATACGTTTATAGCCTACATATTAGAAATGTTTTAATTTGTTGAATTGTATGTGTTTAACTCACTTATACGTTTGCGAACGAGTAGAAGAGAGTAGGCTATATAGGACGATGAATCAATCGACACGCTATTTCCGATTTCTAAAAAAAAACCATGTGAATTTGCAAAGTACTAATACTATCCCGCACTATTATGCACATTTTATTTGGTGCTCACTTGGTGTGCAATTCTTTTTTTTTTTTACTTTTAATACTATTATAAAAAGTTTAAGTAATTAAAAATGGATTACAAATATTGCCTATGTCCAGAGGTGCCATCCCACGTAATGTTATATTAGAATATTAGAGAGAGTTTGGGGGGAGATCACTCCCTGTTTTTTTAATTGGTAAGCAGCGAAAAACAAATTAGGAATAAATGCAACACTACGTACTATTTGACTTAATAGGTCCGTGTTATATTGAGAAGGGGTGGTTCCTGTGTAACGTCGAGATGGGATGTGATTGGGGTGGGCATGGTGAGAGAGCGGTTTATGTGGAGTAATGCATCTATTGTAATCATTGGCTAACATAGTCTGACTGTTTAAAAATCGAAATTAATAAGCTATTAAGATAAATCATTCTTCTATGGAGAGGAAATTTTCAAATGCCGATGTCACATAACTCTACAACACCTACCCCAAATGGTACGCCAGGTTTGCAAGTGTAATATTTCATTTTATATGGTAACTTGCACATAAATATATAGTTTATATGAAAAGAAAATAAAATCTACTCTTATTTTTATACTGCCTTAGCAAGTACACTAGGTATTTTTTTTTTCTATTTTTTCCTAATCCCTTTAAATGTTAAAAGTTGTAGCATAATTCATTGAAAAATGCTATTTTTAATAGAAATATCAACTTCACTTACAGCCAAATAAATGACGTCATTTTATGTAATTATTCAATTATTCAAATTGGGATTAAAAATTGTTTTTATTTTTTAGTGTTAAACAGTAATATGCACATTATTGTACTTAAATTAATACATAACAAACTGTTTTAAGTACATTGAAACATGATGGAATGTAGTTCTCTTTCTAAACCAAAAACTGAGCCGATGACAACCTTCGTTTCATAATTAAAAATATCAGTTTGTATAATGCAAATTAAAACTTTAACAAATGTAAGGAATTAAACATTATTTGAAGAAAAAGCTGTTTCGATTATAAATTCGTTGTTACTATGTAGTAAATAATTGATGATAAAATCATTTCAATATATACAATTTTTTTTTAATCAAACAGTATCTTCAAAAACTGAAAATCTAACAAAACAAATTATTTTGTGCCTGTCTTGCGACAACATTTGCAGGTATTACATTAAAAAAAAAAACACGGAAAAGTTGCTTCATTTTCCCTGTTAATTTTAAGTTTGTAACATGATTAGAGCATTTCAATTAATAAAAACAACAAAAAAAAGTAAGAAATATATACCATTTTATGTTAATTGATTTTAAATGCACTGAAATTAGAAATTAAAACCATCTTGCTTTCTAAAGTATAAGCTTTGATTGCTTATTAGTTATCTGATATAATTTAGCGACCAATTTTATGGTAATAACGTTAGATAATTTCACAACATTTAAATGTTGCAAACTGTAAAACAAAATGAATAAGTGTAAGTTAATTTGAAATTAGGTGTTGATAGGCTTCTCGATACTGGCTTCTTGTGTTGGTGTAGTATCGATGTATATTGTTGGGGTCTTGTTACATTTTGTATATCGTAAGTTTTGTATGTTATGAGTTCAAAATCCGCTTGTCTATTGTTAAGTGTAAGTAAACAATGGTATATGTAAGTACATAAATATAAATATTTAATGAAAGAAGACTGACTTTACAAAATTACGTGGAGTAACAAAATCCAACAACAGTTTATACTCGTCATCTAAAACAGTGTGGAAAAGATGGAGACAGATGAAGACAATGTTGTAACCAACGATAGAGAAAGTAAAAAACAGCTGGACATAATGCAATAACTAACCAAAGTATCAGACATTGGTTGACTCTACTTAATTTGCACATTCAGGCCTAAAACTGAAATTTGATTGCGACTAACACTATACATACTACAAAGCATATGTGAGTTCGTATGTTCCGGTCTGTACGTGTGTTTGGGTCTTGCAATAAGTTGTATGGTTAGAGTTAATGGGGTTACGCGCGTAATTTATTTGGTTAACTTAAGAAACCCAGTTTGAATACATAGTTGATACTTGACTTTTTTTTTAGCATTGCGATGATTTGTATTTATACTTCAATCTTCAACAATCATTACAACAATAAGAAATACACACTTCTGGTATTAATTATATCTTCCTTAATTATTTTAAATAAATGTTAGCATTAATTCTGTCAATTTTGCAGTCGTTCACTAAAATAACGTTGCATAAATATTTAAAACAAACATAAGTCACATTTCAATATACAGTTAAGATTTTATAACGTCCACAAAGATAATTTATTGAGGACATGTATGAACTAAACATGTTTCATCAATAAACATACACGTCTGTAGAAAACTTACTTTTCAACTTCAGTATTTCAGTTAAAGTTAGACAAAAATTTATGGAATAGAAATGGGTGAATACATCTGTTTTATTCTTGTGTAAGTTTAAGTCTTTGCAAAAAAGTAGTCACTGAAAAATGCCTTTAAATAATCTATACAACTATCTTTGACTGACTTGCTTTTCACCTAATCGTATACAACAAATTACTTAAAGCCGAATTATTTGAATTTGGCACAGCTCCATAATTTATTGGTGACCTGATCTTAAATCTTCTTATATGTGTATCCCGTCCATTTTGGTGGTTACTCAAGACTGCAATTTGAATCATGAATGTTCATATTGGTTTGTCATGAACATCTTTTAGAGGAATACACACCCAGCCTGTTGGTTCACATAACTCTACCTGTTCAATTTCACACGAGTCATTGCCATGATTACCTGCCCTTATAGACAATCTATTTGGTGTGTAGCTTTCATCTGACTTGTAATCTGCATAAAGACAGACATCTTGGATGGCAGTTTTCCTCCTGAATTGAATACTAACTGTATGAGGTTGTGGACCATCAGATTGCCAGTATGTTTTATTAGATTCATCACGAAGCTGATCAACACCAAAACCTGGTTTAAATGATGAAAGAGACCAAACTGCTTGGTTTCCAACTTCCCTCAATTTTCCATCTCTCTCATCATTGAAAATATCAACAGTTTGAGCATCATTGACAATATTCTTTTAAAAAGACTACTGTTAAAGGAATAATTCAACGTCGAAATAAAAGAAAGTCATTTTATTAACACAACATTATTTTTAACAATTAATAGTTTCGTAATTTAATTACAAAATGATGTTTTCTTTTAATATCAATAAACTCTTAGTGTTGACAAAATAATTATATACATTTTATTAATACTTTTATAAAACATAACAAATTCAACAAGTATTTACCTAATTATTATATTTCAACTGGGGTATTGGTTTTTTATCAATTCGATAACTTAATTTTAAGTTGTTTCCCTTATTTTTCTAAACATGTATAGGAAGTAACTAAAAGAAACCTATTTAATACATGTTTATCAAGTTGCAACATTGCTGTGTCGTATAGAAGAATTAAGAGTTATTAAAACATATAGAACGTTATTATCAATCTAGAAATAAAACTCACGCTAATGCTAAACGTACACGCTCTACATTAAAGTCTTATTACAACACGAATAAAAGAAAGCACAGTGTGATGTTTACAAAACCAGAGATATTCACGAGAAAAGGGCTAAGCAATGTAAGAAAGGTGAATTTGTTTCAATATATTGAACGTCGACCTACTTTCCTAAAAGTTGTACGTATCTATTGTATTATTCAACTATGTGTGATCTACTCTATCAAAACATTGATGTTGGTCTATTCTTAGAATAGCTCACTGTGTGTCATTCTGTGTGCTATAGATTAAAACGTCACGTAGTAGATGTGTGTGGTTTTGTGTGTCTAGTATGTTGTATTGCTAGTCAGGGTGTATTATTTTATCAATAAAAGGTTCGAGTTTCCTAACTAGTGTTTTGGTCAGAATCTTGTAATCCGTGTTTAGCAGCGAGACTGGCCTGTAGTTTGTTATTTGGGTACTGTCCCTATTTGGTTTGGGATTAAATGCTGTAAAAGCTCTATTCAAGTAATTTTCTCTACGTGTATGTTAAAATGTGGCTATCATAAGGTATGCTATATCACTTTAAAGGGATTATGAATTTCTAATGGCAACCAGTCAGTCCCATTGGATTCACTTATGCGTTTCATTTGTTTGTTTTTTTTCAGAAATAGGTGCATGCCTTTTAGATTTTCACACAGTTCACCCCACTTAATCCAAGAGCTTATTGTGTGAACGGTGTACATGTCAGAGGAAGAGAAATTATATTTGATTAGAGAGGAATTTTTGTTAGAGAGACATTTGTATTAACCTGAGCACAATAAAGTGGAGCGGGTCTTTGAAAATCCTTTTGAAATTCAGTACACGATTGTATGCCGTCTCGTTTTGGAGTTTAAATAATTGGTAGGGGTGTGCACCACTCACAATTTTCTTAAAACCAATGCTCCTTTGTTCTAATAGTAGGGAACACTACACAGGGTACCCTTGATATACTCTTGATATACTCTTGCCGCCATGTTTGGTTCAAATATAAAGTCAGCAATTATCAGCTTTTCTTATAATGTGGACGATTTAATGACTTAATGAGCTGTGGCTGATGCACACAATTTGCCCATATGTATAGACTTGATTAGTTTCTGTTCATTAATAAATTTGTTTAATTACTTTGGGAATTCCCTGTTAGAAAATATGTTTATAATTATGAGAGTTATAGTTAATTTATTCTCTGTTTGAAATGTTGATTACTATTTATTTTATAAACAAAAATGAATGTTAAAAGTCTTATCGTCCACAAACATCCAATTTGAAAATAGCTGTCCACTTTCAGTTGATCTCGTGGACTTTGAAAAGGCGTTTAATAAAGTATTGCATCATTGTTTGAAACTTTTAGAACATATTGCAATGTTGAAAATATAAACATTTAAAAATATATTCTTTCCTATTTTGTGATTTTGTATTTAAGGGAAACAACTTACAACTTAATTTTTTTTAAATATCAATACACTAAGTAACAATAAAAAAGATACACAAATATGTATTTTATTGCAGATTTAATACAAGCAGACATACTATTAAGCTAGAATAATGAGAATAAATATACTTAATCGTAGAATTTCTTTTTTTATTGTATTAGTTTACTTAAAAATATTAATTAAATGAAACCATTATGTCTTTATAACGAAAGTTAATCTTAACCAAATGTTCGTTCAGTGCATTTGATGTTTTCTATATTCAGCACTTTATCCAAACTCATTTTGTTACACGATAATTCAGAGAAAATATTGACAATGACATAGATTTAGTGCTTGTGTGAACAAAAAAATAAAAAAAATAATAAAAAATTGGTTTATTTTTTTCTAAAACAGACCATTATTTTTAAACTCAAAAATAAATAAACACACACACACACACACATATATATATATATATATATATATATATATATATATATATATATATATATATATATATATATATATATATATATATATATATATATATATATATATATATATATATATATATTTAAACGACTCTAAAACCCCATCTTTAGCATAACCTATCGCACTGTTTAGAACGAACGTATGCGCCATTGCGTTAAAGGGAAAGCCCAGGGCGCTAAATCGCACCTTACGGGGACGCGCCTGTTTCAATTTAGTCAACGATTTAATGCATAGATCAAATAGAAAATTTAGACATCCGTGGAATAATCACTAATGCGATTGGTCCCTGTTTATATCCGTCTAAGTATCGTAAAAACAAAACAACTCAGGTAGTATGGACATGTACCACGAGCTGTCTATCGAAAACCTTCATGTGGGGCTCGTAACAGGCGGTAGGATGTGGGGACATTCACGAATTTGGATGGAGGACTTTAATGATATGGACTCGGCTGCCCGTTAAAGAATTTTTTAAAGCATCGGAAAATATTTTAAAAAAGATGGAAAAAAAGAAGGAAAATAATAAACCTGCGATCCCCCACCCCTCACCCGAAATTCTACATGATGATTGGTCTATTGAACTTGACAGTCCATGACATTGGTGTCAGAATTACGACTGACTTAAGCCATGACTTAAGACCTACGTGTAGACCTATGTTAGATGCTACACTTTGATGTCAACGTAAAGGCCGAAAATTATTTTCCTTCTCTCCTTTAACAAAACGAAGTGGGTAACAAACAATATAGGAATAATAATTTTACCATTAAATGTACACCTACATTGTTAAATCAACTTAATTTTCAACGATTACACTTTATCTAGCTAATAAAGATTAAGGTTTTCGATCTACACTAAAGAAAAAAATGTATAATCAACAACAATTATAGAATGTAGAAATGTATTCAATCATGTTTATTTAGTATATTCAATAAAAAATGTTTTTCCATGACTTTTTAATACTAAGTTGTGTTATCTCAACTTGAAATTAAAAAATGTGTAATTGCAACTAGTACAAATTTGAAAAGTAAATAAATAAAGTGCAGGAAAAAAAATCATAAACAAATTAATAAAAACGTTTTGATTACAAGCTTTTATGTAAAAAGTGAAAATAAATTATTCACTACTATTTAAATTACTATACAGAAAAGCGTGGGTCACTTCCTAAATATTAGTAACGGTAGCCGATAAATATTAAAGTGACCCACGCTTTTCTTTATAGTTATTTAAATAGTAGTTTGTAATTAATTGTCTAGTTTTGATTGCATTATTACATAAAAGCTTGTTATTAAACCCTTTTTTTTAATATTCAACTTTGGCTTGTAACCCCAGTGGTGTGACGACAAGATGGGATGTGATTTGGTGTGGACATGGTGAGTGAGCATTATCCTATCAAATCCCAAGGTCACATAACTCTACATCACCTGCCCTACATGATACACCATGTTTGCAAGTGTAATATTTTATTTTATATGGGAACTTACATAAAAGTAAGCAGTTTTTTTAATATGAAAAAAAAATATATTCTACTGTGATTTTTTTTAATGGCTCAGGAAATACATTATGCATTATTTTTTTTTGGCTTTTTTCTTTTGATTTCTTTTAATGTTATATGTTGTAAAATAAATCGTTAAATACTCGTTTTTTTTTAATGAATCTCAACTTCCCATGCAGCCAAATGAATGACGTCATTTTTAAAATTAGAATATACGGAAGTTGTTTTGTTCGTTGTCTGTAAGTCAGTGGTGGAAATTGGGACATCCGTCCCGCTACAATGGTGTGTGCCAGTTGAAAACTTCATAGCTGGCACAGTTACAATGTGTAAAGCTTTATTTTGCATTACAATTATACACACCGAAACTAAAAATTTAATTTAAAAATGTATTAAAGAAAACAAATCTAGATGGTATATTATCCCCGAGTATATGACAAAACAAGCGGGACACCAGAGTTGCCTCTTTTTTATTTGTTTACCTCACTTTATTTCCTCGTATTTAAATTTGTCTGGGTGTTACAAACAGACATGTAACCACGTACCCATGTCCGTAGTTACCTGCCCCTTTCATTACAAACTTTTGCAAACATGTTTGTAATCCAACTAGCAACATCACCAGGCAGGCACCAGATTGGAATCTCCAAGGTTATAGGAAAGAATCTAGGCCATAACAAACTTGGAATCTATCAGTTGTCGATCAAAAGAGCCGCATGTGGCTTGCGAGCCGCAGGTTGCCGACCCCTGGTCTAAACAATAGTTTGTATAATTTCTTTTATGAAAATAAAAATACTTTAATGAAGTACTTTCTGCAGATTATAAATGTCTTTACTAAAATCATACTTTTGTTAATTTAATTTTTATTATATTAGCTACGTGAACTGTATATACCGGAAAATTAAGTGTAAGCAGAAGTTTGACATGTAAAGCAATTAATTGTGTTTCTCTTATTGATTGTTAACTTAGATATTGTTCCGCAGCAGCCTAAATATATAGTAACAGCAAGGCGTAGCGAGGGGGGGGGGGTGGTGGCGAGGGACATCAATCCCAGGGCGCCGACCTTAGGGGGGGTCGCCAAAATGTGTTGAGGGGGGTGCAAATCAAAATTTTGAGGGGATGTGAGTAAATCAAAAGTTCGTGTGGGGGGGGGGGGGGCAAATCGAATTTGTCCCCGTGCGCCGGGAACGGTCACTATGCCTCTTACTCCACTTATTCTTACTGTTTTCTGATGAGAATTTTTTGTCATGTTTGAAGTTGTTTTTCCTTACAGTGTGATATTTTTTTATGAGCTTTGAAAATGAAATAATATAATTATTAATATTTGTTCATGGAACTGGAGAGCTGCATCTAAACATCAAAATAGCCGCATGCGGCTCGCGAGACGCAGGTTGCGTACCCCATGCACTAAATGAATAGGAAACATTAATTGTGTTGGAGGCGTGGTCGAGTCGGCAAAAAAAAGCTCATGGTTGATAAATTCGAACAAAGTCTCGAGTTCAAACGCACTAGCAGATAAATCTCGATCCCCTTCAACACTAATAATTAAGAACAAAGAAGAAGAAGAAGAATAGGACACATTATATAAATTTTTTTTTTTTTTTTTTTTTTGTTTTTCTTTTTTTTTTTTTTGACACATTATATTATCAACATTTATTTTTGCATAAAATAAATTTTCTAAACAAACTAAGAGTAAACGAACAACTATTTCAATCAAGTTTTTCATTTTAAAAAGAATAATATCTTCATTTGTCTAAGTGTACAATAAAAAAATGTTTTAACATTTTAAACATTTATATATATAAAATCATAGATTTTGACAAACACATAAATTAGAAAATGTATTAACTTAATAATGAAATAATTATTTGTTTATTACTTTTAGAATACTTTAATATAATGCTGTTTTGTGTAATTTTTATTATAAAGTTTTAAGTTGTTTCCCTTGACTGCTAAATCACACAATCTGAAAAGAAATATATTTCAAAAAATTTCTACTTTCAACAATGCAATATGTTCTAAAACTGTCAAAACGCCTTTTAATGTCTACAACATTGCCTTAAAGTAGAGTTCCACTTTAAATTGGATGTTTATAAACAATAAACCTTTAAGTAATATTTCTAAATATCAGTAATGGAAGACACATTATACATTAATCATTATTTTAAAAATTGTTACTCTCGTAACATATTTTAAAAATAAATTCACAAAGCAATAATTAGCAAATCTGATGGATCAATTGAAATCAGAAATCACCCACATCTAAATGTATGGACTATAGGTATACGAGCCGACCCGAGGTTAGGAAATAAAGGAGGCTGTATATAATAATGCTATGCTTCAAACATTTGTGATATTAAAACAAGTTAATATTAAGTCTAGTGACAATTTAAGCGCAATTTTCTCTAATTATTTTTTTGTGACCGAACGAAAGGATATTTTTGAAAACTTTCTTCGGCTATATTGTTCTAAATTATGGCAGGATTCGATTGATAAATGTTTCAAGTCGCTAAGTGGTCTGGTTGCCGAAATATGGGCCAAAAACTGCATTTTTTCGAGGTTTTTTGGCTTTTTCCCGAGAAATCCAGG